GCTAAAAACTAATATCTTCTAAAAGATATTATATCTTTTAAAAGGACATTTAACAAAATATCTTATTTTTATGCATCAGTTGTGTAAATGAAAAGATGAGACATTAAAGTTGTAGAAAATAAAATGTTTTTTCCAAATTAGGAAGACCTAACTTCATTACTACGCTGCATACTAGTCCCCCTGGACCCCAAAAAATGTAAAAAGGTTTTTTTATACTCATCAAATCACATTGCGTCATCAGAGATTGATAATTACATTTTTTAAAATCACAGTTTTAATCAAAAGTCATGTCAAAGTGCCAAACAATCTCTTTCCTCTTTATAAAGTCAGTTAGATTCTAAGTAGCTGTAATAGTTGTGAGGTTGACCACAGTGCAGAGACCACACAGAGACGTCCTGTAGTTCCTCCTTCACCTGATCTATGACTTCTAATATTCGGTTTACCCTCGGTGGTCTTCCTGGTGCCACCCTGCCCATTTAAGCACTTCGTCTGCCCAGTTAACTGATTTACAGATGCTCAGAGTCGTGCTGGGTAGGAAACGAAGAGACGCTGGGTGTACTGGGAGATGACATGGATGAGGATGAGCAGGTGGTGGGCTTAACAAGGGACGACAGATGGGAGGTAGAAGAAGATAAGGTGCTGTGGTAGTTGGTTTTTATGAGAACACAAACCATAGTACTTTATTACCTCCTGAAGCGCGAGCATCAAGTTAAGGGCCACACTGAGAAAAGAGACCCAGACATTTACAGTTATTGATGTGATTTATTTTAATACATCTCCTCCTCACGTGCAACCAGTCCTCAAAAAGAAAAGAAGTTTATAATGCCTTCTGATCACAGTTGTATCTCGCAGCCAACTCACAGAAGCTTGATCATGATATCTCCTGATAGCGCGAGAGATTCAACGAACCATGTCCTGATGTAAAAGCGAGCCGTGTTGTCGTTCTTCCACATGTGTCTGCGGGCCTGCGTCACAGGCCTGAACATGACGATCTCACAGTTTTGTAGATTTTGGATGGTGGTATCTACCTTTACCGTACAGCACATAAAAATGAAACTTAACTGGACTTTTAGATTGAGT